GTCAGAGAGGCAAAGACGATGTCTTTGAAATACTGGCCCGTTCTCTGGCGCCGTCCATCTATGGTCACGACCACATCAAGAAGGCGTTGCTTTGTATGCTTTTAGGAGGTCTTGAGAAAGTGTTACCGAATGGCACTCGACTTCGAGGGTAAGTCATAATGCATTAGTTTTTACTGTATTTCTGTATTTAATTACCCTTTGATTTGTGTTTGCAGTGATATAAACATTCTCCTCATCGGCGACCCCTCCGTAGCCAAGTCTCAGCTTTTGAGATATGTGTTGAACTGCGCGCCCAGAGCTGTGGCCACCACTGGTCGCGGATCTTCGGGCGTTGGTTTGACGGCTGCCGTCACTACAGATCCCGAAACTCGCGACCGCAGACTAGAGGCCGGAGCTATGGTTTTGGCCGATCGGGGAGTTGTCTGTATCGATGAGTTCGATAAGATGTCAGACATCGATCGGACAGCCATTCACGAGGTGATGGAACAGGGAAGGGTCACCATCACTAAGGCTGGCATTCACGCCAAACTCAACGCCCGCTGCTCTGTGTTGGCCGCCGCTAATCCAGTCTACGGCAGAGTATGTTTACGAACACTCAATCAATTATTTATAATTAATCTTTATATTTGTGTACAAAAAGTACGATCAATACAAGACTCCGATGGAAAACATTGGACTCCAGGACTCGTTGTTGTCTCGATTTGATTTGCTATTCATTATGTTAGACAAGAACGACACTCAGATAGACAACGCCGTTGCCGAACACGTGGTTCGCATTCACCGCTATAGAGCTCCGGGAGAACAGGACGGCGAACGTGAGCTTGAATTGCATTGAATGGCTGTTTTGCAATACAATAATGTTTGACTTGTTTTATGTGACAGCGCTTCCAATCATGAGTAACGCCGACTTCCTGACCACCAAAGACTCGGAGACTTTGGACAGAGACGCCGACGCAGAGACTCCTATCTATGAGAAATACGATGCCTTACTTCATGGAAATCGAAACAAATCGTATGTTTTTATTGATTGGATTTTAACAGTCAAATAACAATTGATTTTTAATTGAATTGAATTATTTAGCGATAAGATTGTGAGCATTCAATTCATGAAGAAATACATTCACATCGCGAAAGCCATTAAACCTAAGCTAACGAAAGAGGCGTGCGATCTGATTGCCGA